TTAAATAAATAATAGATCTCGCCAAAATTAAATGCATTAAATATATTAAAAGCATTTACAACCTAAATCAATTGGATCTAGGGCATAACACTTACACTTGGAGCATCTAAGTCTTGTGCTACAACGGTGTACAGAGACCAACTTGGTGTTGAATTGGGAGAAATGTCACTTTATGGTGCAAGAAGATATCGTACTAGGGCACAAAATTTTAGCAAAGGGTATTGAAGTGGACAGGGCAAAGATTCAGGTGATCGAGAATTTACTACCACCTACCTCAGTGAAGGGTGTTCGCAGTTTTCTTGGGCACGCTGGATTCTACAGAAGGTTTATCAAGGATTTTTCAAAAATTACCAAACCTCTATGCTGTTTACTGATGAAGGAATCCCCATTTCAGTTTACTGATGAGTGCCTGTAGGCCTTTAACACTTTGAAAGAGAAGTTGACTTCAGCACCTGTAATTATCACACCGAATTGGAATCTGCCATTTGAATTAATGTGTGACACCAGTGATTATGCTGTGGGAGCCGTGTTGGGTCAACGAAGGAATAAGGTATTTCACGTTATCTACTATGCAAATAAGACTTTGAACGATGCTCAGTTAAATTATGCCACTACGGAGAAAGAGCTTCTTGCTATAGTCTATGCATTTGATAAATTTCGATCATACCTTGTGGGGTCGAAGGTCGTAGTCTACACAGATCATGCTGCTATCAGGTACTTAATGGAAAAGAAGGATGCTAAGCCACGTCTCATTTGTTGGATATTACTACTTCAAGAGTTTGACTTGGAAATTAAGGATAAGAAAGGCAGTGAAAACGTGGTGGCGGACCACCTATCTCAGCTTGAGGACTCAAAACGAACAGAGACAGTGGAAATAAATGAAATCTTCCCAGACGAACAGATTTTTGGTGTGATGGAAACACCCTGGTATACAGATATAGTTAACTATTTAGCCAGGTCTATCATACCGCCAAATTATTCAAGTCACCAGAAAAAGAAATTCTTCGCTGAATTGAAGTATTATTTTTGGGAAGATCCCATTCTCTACAGGCGGGGGGCTGATCAAATTGTTTGTCGCTGTGTACCAGAGGAAGAGGTGCCTTTGATACTAGAAAACTGTCACTCGTCTATATATGAAGGACATTTTGGTGCTTCGAAAACAGCTGCGAAGATTCTTCAATCAGGTTTTTACTGGCCTACACTCTTTAAAGATGCTTTTGAATTTGTGAAAAGGTGTGACCGATGTCAGCGTACGGGTAACATATCTAGAAGAAATGAGATGCCTTTGAATAGTATCTTAGAGGTGGAATTATTTGACGTCTGGGGGATCGACTTCATGGGACCATTTCCACCGTCTTTTTCAAATCAATACATATTAGTGGCTATGGATTATGTATCGAAGTGGGTCGAGGCTGTTGCACTACCTACTAATGATGTGAAAGTGGTGATTGAGTTTTTAAAGAACATTTTTACCCCGTTTGGAACACCAAGAGCCATAATCAGTGACGGGGGCACACATTTCTGCAATCATCAGTTCGAGCAGTTGTTAGCAAAATATGGCGTTAAAGACCGTATAGCCACCGCATACCATCCCCAAACCAGCGGATAGGTCAAAGTATCAAATAGGCAATTGAAGCGAATACTCGAAGTCACAGTCAACTCATCACGAAAGGATTGGTCAAAGAAATTGGATGATGCCTTGTGGGCCTACAGGACTGCATTCAAGACCCCTATAGGAATGTCACCATATCGACTGGTTTTTGGGAAAGCATGTCACCTACCTCTTGAGATTGAACATCATGCCTACTGGGCAATGAAGAAGTTGAACTTGGATTTGAAGGCTGCGGGTGAAAAACGACTGTTACAACTGAATGAACTGGATGAGCTCAGAATGGAAGCCTACGAGAACTCAAAGATCTACAAAGAGCGCACCAAGAAATGGCACGACATGCATATCCAGAGGCTTGACTTTAAGGTGGGGCAGAAAGTGCTACTCTACAACTCCAGGCTTAAACTGTTTCCAGGAAAATTGAGATCGAGATGGTCTGGTCCATATACCATTACACAGGTGTTTCCACATGGGGCAATTGAGATCACTCACGACAGCAACGGGACATTCAAGGTTAATGGACAGCGTTTGAAGCACTATTGGGGCGGTGATTTCTCAAAGGACAAGTCTACCGTCCATCTTGGATCGCCAGAATGACACAATATGGTAAAGTCGAGCTATCGACTATAACCTAGCGCTGAGTGGGAGGCAACCCACTGTATCCTTAAATTTATTTTATTGCATTGCATTAGTTTAGGAATTTGTTTGAGTTTAGTTTATTTCTTAGGTCATCGATTATATTTTGCATGATAGCCTAGGCACTACACGTTTAATGTTTCATGAATGGGTGCTAAATGAAGTGTTTGGGTGTTCGAGTGTGTGTCACGCATTCCGATGTGCGAAGATGTTCATTTTGGTTAAGCTTTCAGAATGTGGGACAACATTTATGAAAAATTGGTTTTAGTGCCAAGTTTCAATAAGCATATTCCTCTTTTGGAGTCAAATTTTTAAGTGAAAAAACGATTTTGGGGGAGTTTAAATTTGAAGTCATTTATAAAAAAAATTGACAAAAATGGCACTCTTTTTATTATTATTTTTATTCTATTTTATTTCTTTAAAAAAAATAATAATAATAAGAAATCCGGTTTGGTCTATGCGACCGCATAGACCATTATCGAAAATAAAAAGGGGCAAGTCTATTGCACTATGCGACCGCATAGTGCAACACTATGAGGTCGCATGGTGTAGTGGTCACGGGTTTTAACCCGTGACCACACAATAAACCCCCAAAATTTCCCCCCTCTCCCTCACACTCGAACACACGCACACACTCCACCTCTCACTCACACGTGCACACCACACACATATCACTCTTCACTTGCACCCACTTCACACATTCACAATTCAAGCACCTAAGTTGGATTGGATTCTACATTGAGGTGCCACATCTAAATTAACAAGTATTTGGCCAAGCAAAGTATGTTCTTCTAATCCCTAATTTCGAGCTTCATTTTACTGTTTATCATTCAATGTGTTGGCATTAGTTAGAAGGAATAAGGTAGTATGACATGGTGTTGTGAATTGGGGGCAATTTCATGGTAGTGTTTTAGAAGAAATAGGAAGAAATTCACATTGCACACCACATGCTCGATGAAATGCCACATTGACGATTGTTTTAAATTCTTGAACTTTTCACTTATGCAATAGGTTACATCGTTATTGTGTAGCTTATTGGCCGAATAATCACGTGCAATTTCATTTGAAAAACACTACCTCGATATTTGAATTCACAAAGGCACTTCATGGCTAATCATATTCACTCACGTCACTACCTTCATCCCTATGTTTTCTTATGCAAACGACCTCCGGTTAAGGTGAAATTTGGATATATGCTAGATGTCATTGAGTACTTTCACATGTTCAAAACTTGCCCGGGAAAATTTCGATATTTCTCGGTGATGCCCGGGGCCGAAGTTGGTCACTTGGTCATGGGTCAAATTTTCTAAAAATGCATATTCGAGCCATAATTTTGAGTTTTCCATACTTATGCAATGTTTGAGTTATATTGGTGATTCATGTTTTGAAAAATTGCATAAGCACACGTACATGTGCATGTTGAAGAAAGTTTGGTGGATTATGAATTCAAAGATTATTAATGCCGGTTATTCCTATACAAAGTGATTGAATTTGGGTACTTCCTTTTTCAGGATGCCTCCTAAAAGAACTTCACAGGGAAAAGAGAAAGTTGGCTCCTCATCTGGAACGGCCCGAACAAGAGAACCCGAAGGGGGTGTTCGAAGATTCCTTTCATCAGATACAGCTGCCCGTTATGCCAATGTTGTGCATAATTGGGCAATCATTCCCGAGAGGCCAGTTAAGCTAGAAGATTTTCCCAACTTTGAAATATCATATCTGATTCACAACTATGGCTAGGAAAAGGTAATAGAAAGACCTCATCCGGTGTATGAGAATCTAGCAAAGGAGTTTTATGCAAATTTCAACACAGAAATCGACACTCCCGGATCAGAGCACTTACATCAGACATGCGTTAGGGGCAAATGGATTATGTTTTCACCAGAGGTAATTCATGACTACTATCAGTTATCCTGGAATAATGTGGTCCCTATTCCAGAAGACTTCAACTAGAATGAGGTTGCAGAAATATTGTTGGGACGTGAAAACGCTTGGCCTCTACCTACAGCAGACTGGCATCAGATAGATCTCACCCCATCCATAGCAATTTTATGGTTATTCATGTGCCATAACATCGAGCCTATATCCCATAGAACAACATTTACAAATCCAAGGGCTGGATTCATATACCATTTGGTTAGAGGGAACAAGATTGATCTAGCCACGTACATCTACAACCAAATTCATGGTACAGGCACTTGGGGTGATAGACACTACTCACTAATTTTTCCCAGTCTGATAAGTGGAATATGTAGAGCAGTGGGGATACAAATCCAACCTGGGGAAGCACCAGAAAAGCCAACGCACAACGACGACAGCAATTGAATGAGGAAGGTCAAGTAGATGCAGACCTTCACATGCCACAAATTCCTCCATCACCACCCCAGGTTGATATGGACAATTAGGTATTGAGGCAGATATTCGCCACCACCACTAGAACTAGCAGGGACATACAACATCTCCAGCAGAGTTTCGAGACCATGCCTACCACTGTTGACAAAGTGCAGAGAGACCTCTACTCTTTCCGGGACTACACAAGGGGTGCTTTGAATGAAGCCACAGCGGCACGACGGGAAGTGGAGACCATGAATGGTGGGTTCAACATGTATGCTGGGAGAATGGATGGCATACAGTGGCGAGTGAACGAAACCTGGGATCGATTGGGAAGTATGGAGAATAGGCTTCAATCCATTCAGGCAGAGCAAGCGCAGCAGACAGAGTTGATGAGACAAATCCTATCTCGCCTTCCATCTCCTCCTGCAGATCATGCTGCGGGTCCCAGCTACACACCACGACCACCACTTTGATCAGGGGAGTGTTGTTTACCTCTATTTCCCAAGTTGTGTTTATATTTTTAAATTATGGTTTTCTAACTTTACATTTACATTGAGGACAATGTACTGTATAAGTTTGGGGGATGGTAGCATAATTTTCAAACAAATATTCGGCAGGTAGTTAATATGCATTTTCACAATCAATCATTAAATTGACTACATTCTTGCATGATGCATGCGTGATGAATGAGTGTTAATTTTACTTTTGCATGCTTGTGTGGGTTTGGTAGCCTTGCCGGCTATGATGTGAGTATTGGACAGGTGTAAAATAGAACTATGGATATAGTACAGGATTTAATTAGCTAATACTTATTGATGCAATGCTTGATATTCTTTTGCACGCTACTCATGTTTTCATGTTAAGTTATTGATTGGGATTTTGGTGAAAAATATGAGAAACCTAGGTTAACCCTCTATAACATTAACCCGTTAAACCACCTTAAGATAGTTTGGAGATGGTTGAGCCACTATAGGGAAACATGGAGATAAGTAGAGGCTCAGTGCATGAATTTATATTGTGTGGATTGCCTAGACCCAGAAGGTGAGAAATAGGTGAAAGCTTTAAGTTGAGGACGGTTGTTGAGATCAAATGTCTAGAAAAACAAGTAAAGGGCATAAAATAAACATGGGAAAATCATCACTTCCCTCAAGAGCCTTTATGACTCGAGCAAGTAAGTCTGTTAGGGTTTAAAACCTGATATCCTAAAGCCAACTGGTTTGGGAATTATCAGCCTAAAGCTCGTTACAGGGGTCATATAGAAAGCAAGATAAAGGAGAAGTTGACAAAAATTCATCTTATCGAGCCTTTTTAACTCGGGTAAATAAGGCTGCAAGGGTTTAAAACTTGGTGCCCTAAGACCAACTGGTTTGGGAGTCATCGCCTAAAAACCCATTACACGGGTTATATAGAAAGCAAATGAGAAGATGAGGGAAAAAAATTTAAAAAAAAGGGGCCCTTGTTGGACATTTGGTTGATATAACTTTAACCTTGATGCGAGGTAAATAGCTTAGTTTGAGCCTAAAGGTTGAAATAATCAAATTAAAGAGAGTCTCTACTTGTTGATATGTGTACTTGTAAGGGTAAAATCTATCCAAACTAAGAGAGGGTAAGGATTATAGTTGTTAAACTCCCAATCTTAGAACACAACCCGAGATATTAGAGTGAAAAGAATAAGTTTGGGGGGTTGTGTATCTCTCGAGTGATGCAAGGATAAATTGACCACTATGGGTCGGGAATAAACCATTCATAAGCTTGATATGTTGGCATGAGTTCACACACACACATTGAGTATTGCAATTGATGAGTAAAGGTTAATTTTATTCTCGCACTATTGATATCGTTTTATTGTTAATGCTAAGTTCCAATCCTGAGACATGGCAAGCTATTAAGCCATGTTTGTATAGCATTGAGTCACTGCATTGTTTGAGGACAAAAAATAGTTTAAGTTTGGGGGATTTGATAAGTATGTTTTTACACACTTATTTGGTTCACAAACATGACTTAAACATGGATAAAATGATTGAATTGTGACT